ACACAGATCAATGACATCCCCAACACCTGCTGCATGCCAACCTCCAAAGATGCTGCAACTCCAGTCGAGAGCTCTCGCTTCCAGGCCAGAGACGAGGCCAGTGGGGTATCCAGGGTGGGCATCGATTGAGTTTGAGAGCCAGGGATCACAAGTAGACACCCCCTCCCTCAATAACCCATTCCCACAGGTGGGCTGTGCCTGGGGGGCTCTTTCTGCACTTCCCCCAGGCCCCTGTGCCCCCCAGACATAGGAGAAGGCCTGGGGGTCTCTGAGTCCCCAGCACACCACCATTTTCTGAGGACACGGCCATGCTGCACGTCAGTTCTTTGGAAGTTGCTACTGTGGAGGGTGACATTAGCTCTGAGCCACAAATTCTTCGCTCTGTGGTTGGAGGAGGGTCCAGGCAGGTTCTGGCTTCAACTTTGTCCAGCGTTTGACTGTGGCCCTGTGAGTAAAAGTGACACTGACCTCATCTTCCATTATCCATCTGTTGCATCCTGCCCAGGCATTGACCTGAGTTCATAGGGCCTCTAGCGGTGCCAGCAATACGCAGGTGGTGAAACTCTGGCAGGCAGGGCTATGCCATTGAGTTGAAGATTTCAGAGAAGGGTTTCATTCTGCTGAAAGATGAGGGAGCATGTGTTGAGGAGCACTCCGTTTCCAAACCACGACCACACCCACTGCTTTGAAGTCCATTCTGACCCACAGCGCCCCTGGAGGACAGAGTGGAACTGCCCCACAGGGTTTCCTGAGCTATAATCTTTATAGAAGCAAAGACCAAACCAAACCCACTGCCATGGAGTGGATTCCGACCCATAGCGCCCCTAGAGGACAGAGTGGAACTGCCCACAGGGTCTCCAAGGCTGTCAATCTTCACAGAAGCAAAGCCCAAACCAAGCCCACTGCTGTGGAGTCATTCCGACCCATAGCGCCCCTAGAGGACAGAGTGGAACTGCCCACAGGGTCTCCCAGGCTGTCAGTCTTCACAGAAGCAAAGCCCAAACCATACCCACTGCCTTGGAGTCGATTCTGACCCACAGCGCCCCTAGAGGACAGAGTGGAACTGTCCCACAGGGTTTCCAAGGCTGTAATCTTTACAGTTGCAGACTGCTTCATTTTTCTCCTGCAAAGCAACTGGTGGGTTCAAACTGTCGACCTTTCAGTTAGCAGCTGAATCCTTAGTGCCACCAGAGCCCTTACTCGGTTTTCGGTGGAGGCAATTGCATGTACATGCATCAGCTCTGGTGGTGTAGTGCCTAAGGCACTTGACTACTAACCAGAAGGTTGGTGGTTCAAACCCACCAGCCAGTCCTCAGAAGGAAGGTTGGACAATCTACTTCTGTTGTGATACCGCCTCGGAAACCCAAGGAGGGGTCGCTGTGAGTCGGATCTGACTTAACTGCATGCAGTGAGTTTGGTTTTGTGGTTTTGCACGTAAATGAAAATTGCCCGTTCTCAGGGCTGCAAGGCACAGTGGTCTGTGTGACAGGCCCAGAGTTGGGGCCCTGGGTGGGCAGCAGGGTGGGGCCCCTGTTCCCGGCCAAGAAACCAACTTGGTATCTGTTCCGTGGTGAACGTGGCTTGACTGAGCCCAGGAAGGCTGGCCACAGGTCAGCAAGGCTGACGGGAGAGTGGGTGCAACTAGGGGAGGCACACCAAGTCAGGGAGCTGCAGGAGCGGGGAGCCAGGCCTGCCTGAGGGTGTGTGGCTTGGGGAGGCCCCCATCCAACTGCAGTAAAGGGTCTGCCCACAGCGTGGCAGAGCCAGATGTCCGCTCCGGGCTCACCCCTGACTGTGGACCAGGCTGTGAGCTTGCAGGTAGCCTCTCCAGGGAAAGCACTGTGTAGGGTCCTTCTGGGGCTGCTTTACAGAGGCTGCACGCTGCTCTGGAGCCCACATGTCGGCACCGAGGGCTTGCCTGAGCTAAGAGTGGGCTGCAGGGAGTCCGAAATCGGTGTCACTGATTTCCACATTTCCCTGGACTCTCCCAGACCAGCTCTCAAAAGGCAGGCTGTGGCCCCGTCTTACAGTAAGTGGAGGCTGGCTAGGGGGTGGGCAGGATGCCTTGGAGAGTCACCCAGGGGGCCTTGGAGAGTGATGGGTGTGTCCCAGGGCAGGCCTGCCTCTCTCTGCTGCCCATGCCTGGGGCTTGGCCTGGCTGGGCTGGCTGTGGGGCGGGCCAGGCCCTGTGGGAGGGGCTGATACAAAGTGCCTTATTTTGAGTTTGAGATTTTTTTCCTACTGGGAGGTGGGCCCACCCACCCCTTGCTGCGCCTGGCGCCCTCTTTTGGCACGGTCCTTGCCTGAGCTGCATGTCAATGCCACCAGGGCTGGGGAAGCAGGAGTCCCCAGGGACCAGCCAGAGTCCCCACTCCGCCCTTCCGTGGCCGTGGACCCAGTAGGCGCCCCTCTCTGAACCTCAGTCTCTTCTTCACTCCCTTGGAGATGAGGGTGGGACCAGCCTCTTGGGCTGTGAGAGCACCCAGAGCAGAAGGTGCCAGGGAGGGCCGGGCTTGGCGGCTGGCTGGGCTGCAGAGTTAGAGCCAGCCTGGCGCCCAGAGTGAGAACTCCTACCCCTTCTGCTTTTCCAGGCTGACCCTTGGCCCTCGCCCAGCCCCGCTAGCCAGCTCCCACCAGCCCTGGGAGTAGGGGGTGGGGAGTGGGGGCTGCAAGCTGGGAAGGCAGGCGTGG